TAAATGTAAAATCTATTAAATTAATGCGACTGTCTTATCAAGAAATTACCACTTTGCCTGGCATATGTGGACTACGAGAAAGCCTTTGATTCCGTCGAAAATTGGGCGGTGCTACAGTCTCTTCAGCGGTGCCAAGTTGACTGTCGGTATATCGAAGTGCTGAAGTGTTTGTACAGTAGGGCTACGATGGCTATCCGAGTACGGAACCAGAGTTCGAAACCTATCCAACTGCAGAGAGGTGTAAGACAGGGTGATGTTATATCCCCGAAACTCTTTACCGCTGCGTTGGAAGACGTTTTCAAGCTGCTGGATTGGAAAGGATACGGTATTAACATCAATAGCGAGTACATCACTTACCTTCGATTTGCCGACGATATAGTTCTTATGGCAGAATCGCTGGAGGACCTTAGCACTATGCTCAATGATCTCAATGGTGTCTCCCAACAGATAGGTCTTCAGATGAACATGTACAAAACAAAGATCATGTTTAATGTCCATGTCACACCTATGCCGGTAGTTGTCTTGGAGCACTATGCTCGAAGTTGTTGACGAGTACGTTTACCTGGGACAAATAGTCCGACTAGGTAAGTTCAACTTCGACCGAGAGCTCAATCGACGGATTCAACTCAGCTGGGCAGCGTTCGGGAAATTACGACACATCTTCTCGTCAGGTATACCTCAATCTCTGAAAACTAAAGTGTATAACCAGTGCGTGTTACCAGTGATGACTTACGGATCTGAGACGTGGTCCTTCACTGTTGGCCATATAAGGACGCTCAAGGTCGCTCAGCGAGCTATGGAGAGGGCTATGCTCGGGGTTTCTCTGCTTGATAAACTCAGAAATGAGGATATCCGCAGTAAAACCAGAGTGACCAACATAGCCCAACGGATTAGTAAGCTGAAGTGGAAATGGGCCGGCCATATAGCTCGAAGAACCGATAACCGATGGGGAAGAAAGGTTCTCGAGTGGCAGCCTCGTACCGGTAGGCGTAGTGTAGGGCGTTCCCCACTAGATGGAGTGACGACCTGGTAAGACATGCAGGAAGTCGATGGATGCAGGTGGCTCAGGACCGTGCTTTGTGGCGTTACTTGGGGGAGGCCTATGTTCAGCCGTGGACTTGTGAAGGCCTGTAATGATGATGATGATGAATGCGACTGTCATTAAAACTATCTTTGTTTTGCAGTTAAGAGTAACCTAAGTCTGAAGGAATAGAGAAAAATTTATAGAAATAATTATATTAACTTTGGCCTCTCAACATATTTAAGAAAATTTAATGTATGTACACAAAAACAAAAATATTTTTATTAAAAATAGTGTAGGAACAAGCACAAGTTAGTTATACGAGTACCAATGATTCGACTCTAAAGAGTCTGCAAGAATAGCCTTGTGGGACGGGCTACGGTTTTGGGGCCTGGGGAGGTGGCCAGTGTTGGTGGTTTCACCCAAGCGTTAGGCTTCGGCGCGGGAGGTGTGGGAAGGCTTGAGCCTTGCTCGGACACCCCGATGGTGGGGGCAGGCTTGGTGTTAGCACCGAGGATAGTGCGAGCTTGGGAGCAGGCTGCCGAGAGCGTAATACGCTGGCTTGGCCCGCAAGTCTGGGACGGCTTTTTCATCCGCGCCGTTTTCTTCGCAGCGCTTTGGAACACCCGCGATATATACCGTCTCAGGCGTGCGAGTGCAGTTAATAGTGCCGTGGTTGCCTAGGCACTTAAAGCATCTAGGCAAGGCGTTATAGTTTTTGGCCGTGTGGTATTAGCCAACGATGCCATTATTCGGGGGCTTCAACTACAATCCCAGTATGATTGCAGTTGTGTCGAACGTTAAATTGTCCTTGCCTTCCACGGACAGGTCCATTATGAGAAGTCACAAGCCTGAAAACCGTTTCCTATAGGTCTGGTGAAGCATTCTGTACACTTCACGGACCGGGAGATTTTAGGCCTTGAGGTCATCTAAGATGTGTACGGTTTTGAACTTTTTGGGGAGTCCACGAATAAGGTGTGGAAACGGGCGTAGGTGTGTAAATTGATTACTTGGACACGCAGGTTGATTAGTCAATGCTCTGACCGGTGTTTCGCACCTTTGGCCAGTAAATCTTTTTTGAATTCAAACAATTGGACCAAATAGAATATTATTCCATTTGGTCTAATCATGAATGATAATAGGTGACGGAATCTTTTCCTTACGTTTAAAGGGCACCCTGTTACTGCAGGCTTATCCGCGGGATTGAGAGCGGGCGTTTTAGACGGAATGGCGGTGGGTGACTAGGAGGCTGAGTTGATCACGGCTGCCTGTTTGGGAGCAACGCGTTTGCGTTTCTTGCCCTAAACGAAAGTGAACCTTCGCTCTCGGGTTTGGGCGGGCTACGCAATTCTGTCTCGGTGTCGGATTAAATCGACATTTGAGAAGACCAGAGTCCCGTCGAACGGCGGCACTTTGAATCCACGTAGCGAAAATGTTGTAGCTACTACAGGAGCTGTAATTCCATACCCGAGTTTGAGTTCCTCCAGCGTTTTCTTCGCGTCAGACATCACCTTGTCAACCCGATCGTTAACTTGGTCGATTCGGGTTTCAGCTTCCTCGATTCAGGTTTCAGCTTCCGACAGGCGGTTGTCATGTTGAGCAACCCTATCCTTCACCTTCCATATCTCTTTACCAAAGGTAGCGTGAAGGTCCTTCATGAGGAGTATCTGCTCTTCTAACCGACGGGCATGTTACTCTTGTCCGCAAATTGTCGGATCCATTCCGCCTGCTGATCTTCCAACCGACGGACCTGTTCTTCCTGCCGGTGTGCCTCTAAACCTACTCTTTCAACTAACTGGCCTGTTCCTCTTGTCAGTGGGCCTGTTACCCCTGCTGCACTTTCAACCAACGTGCCTGTTCCTCCTGTTGGCAAGCCTGCTCCTGTAACATCACCATCAGAGCATCCAAGTCACGAGCTGCTGACGGGCCGACCTCCGTGACCAGCGGCTGGTCCTCCGACGTCTGCGGCGTTACACCACCAAATCGTCTCTGATCCGTCTCCTGCTGGCGTCAACTTCGGGTACGGACTCACTCCGTGTCGCCCTTCGGTAAAATCGGCATTTTCACTTCTGACACCAATTTTTACGAGCTTAAAAGTCTGCGATTTCATCGATCTTGTTTAACTATGCTAAGCACAGTTATGCACACACCTTCGCCACCTTTCGCCGGGTGAGGTTTGTGCCTACAACGAACACCTCTACATCCAGCGCGTTAGTGCGCTATGGCGTGTACCTAGCTGACACATAATGCAATAAGCTACACAAAAATTAAAATCGATGGCAGCCTCTGAGGCGGCTATGTTTTATCCCACTTACGATTGTCGGTGACTAGGAAGTTAGGAAGGAGAGTTACGCAAAAAACACTTACACCACAGCAAGCGTTCAATACACTGTGAGTCTGCTGTCTTCCGCGACAGCGTGCTTTGTGCTCCACAAAGAGGGCACCAATACAGTCATCATATATAGAACATCAAGCAGTAGGCCAAGTATATTAAAATAATAATTCGTGGACATGAGCAAAGAGAGTGGAGTGATGGGAGTAAACTCAACTGATATATTCGAAGTCATTAGAGCCCAAGCGCAAAATCTCTCTAATGTAGTTCATTATTATCCGGCCTGTCCGAATTTTGTTGGGCTTTTCATATTTAATCGGTCACGGGTATATCGCCCGAGCGAGTTCTGCCGTCGTGTCGGTCACGCGTTCCCCCAACCTCCGCACCGCACAAGCTCGTGCGAGCCATGGCCTAATGTTGTTTTGAATTGCATAATTTAAAAGACTTTTTTTTACTGTTGTGCCAGTATCAAGTAGTCAGGAATTATCTTTTATATTTATTTGTTTTAAAACTTCATCATGTTGATGCGATATATTGCGAAGCATTTAAGAGATTTTGATTCCAGCTACAGCCAGTACATAGTCGATGACGACACGATACTATCTCAAAGCTTAGGCGCCTTACATATTATCTTGAGCTACACATCACCATCGGATCACATGTTTCATCGTTTGTATTAGTAGTTGACATTTATTACTCAAAATCACACTTTTACATATCAAAATCCACTTCAAACCATTATTTTATACAATAGAACAAGAGTAGCAATTCGCAAGCTGCCGCCAAAAGACTTTTTAAAGTGTGCTGTTTATTTCACTCGCAGTTCAGATGATTCGATGACAAAGGATCAAAAATCCTAGATTTACATACAATAATGTTTATCATCTTAAATCTAAGACACAAAATCTGTAATAATTTGAGATGTTAGGCATTTCATCAATATAATTAGATAAAATATATTATATTAAATAATTATTGACGTAAGAATAATAATTAATATATGACATTGACCTATAATAATAATCTTACTTGATATAATAATACTTACTTATATTTTTTCTGACACTGTGGCATAATAAATTAATTATCAAATCAAGTAAATAATATTAAATAATAAGGCGTAGGAAAGTGACGACCCCATCGCCCGATGACGTAACGGTTATGTGACAAAACCGCTACGTCAGCGCAGTCAGTCAGCACCTTGCCAAGAGGTGGTAGTGCCATGCCTCGGAAACAATTGAAGGTGCAAAGGCCCGCTTGTGCACATGGCCTCACCATGAAACGGCGCCGGGTCTGGGCGTCCCCCGCTAAATGATACCCTAAAAATGGATGATGGAATTAAATAGAACGCGCAAAGGGCCGCTGCCTGGAGGTCGCCAGGGCGCGTCTGGAGCTGGCGCTGGACGCGACAGCATGCGAACCGCCAGCCAAGCGCGAGGTGCTGCACGACCACCCAGCAGCTCCTCGCATCCATCATCCCCACCAGCTGGCTTGGTGTCGGCAGGGTCTTCGCGGGCCCAGCAATCGGCATCCGCCACTGGTGGAGTACGCCGCATGCGTTGGACAACCCAGATGAACGGCAACGCATTGCGGGCGTATTTTAGGGCGAAAGGGGGAGAAACTGGAGATTTTGCGTATCGGGCAAGGATGCATAGACTTTTTGCTGAGCTGGAGCCATCTGTAACCGTCACCGAGCAAAACCTGGCAGACCGAGTTCGGTATATCTTGCGCTCAAATACATTTGATGTCACCGAACTCGAACGGCTACGACGTGAGGCTGTTCCTTCATCGGGTGAAAATGCTGCGGCTGAGGATGCGGCGCCACAACTTGCTGAGCAAACGGCAAATGTGGATGCCGCCGTGAATACGCCAGTTGTGGTTGATTCAAACGATGATGAAACAGTCGCCCAGGAACTGGAACTAGAGCAAATGAGGAGTACATTGGAAGAGGAGAGAATTATAATTATTGGGTTATTAATAGAGTAATCACATCTGGTTGGGCTGGATAAATATATAAAGGGAAAAATAAATATACTTAAATATATATTTAGTATACTAACATAAATAAATAAATAATACAATATTATTATTATTCTTTTTTCTTTCTCAAGATTTTGTAAAATCTTGGTTTTTAAGAGATGTTCACGGGCCTAAGCCAAGTGCGCATCCATTTGGGAATCAAAATCCGAGATGTCTTCTTGCAAAAATTTTCGGACTATACGGCACGTGTTGAGGATGGCTGCTTTTTGCATGGTAATATAACTATTTTCAGGAAGATCTAGTCGTTTAAGGGAGAGAGACAAACATTTCGGGATCACACCAGTACTGGAGAGAACCAGCGGTACAATATATACTTTGTTCATTTTCCAGATTCTAGTTACTTCTTCTTTTAATTCTGTGTATTTATGATTTTTTTTCAGTAATGGTTTTTTGTATATTATGGGTATTTGGGATCGCTATATCAATTAGATATACTGTTTTATTTAATTTATCAATTAAAGTTATATCCGGTCTATTGTAATGAATTGTTTTATCGGTAAGAATAGCTCTATCAAAGTACATTCTGTGACTGTCGCTCTCCAGAACAGGTTTGGGGGTATACTGATAGTACGGCAGTAGTTTTTGGTTCGGGATTAAATTGTGTTTATTTGCAAGTTTTTGATGAACGTAATTAGCAACCTGGTTATGACGGTGGGTGTAATCAGTTTGTACTAGGCTGGGACGAGCACCGGTAATATGTTGTATAGTTTCGGGTTGGCGGTGGCATTTTCTACAACTATCGTTCTGCATGTTTGGATCTTTTAATATGTATTTTTTATAGTTTCTTGTATTGATTACTTGATCCTGAATGGCAATAAGAAAACCTTCGGTTTCGGGGAAAAGAGAACCTATTTTTAACCATTTATTTGAAGCCAGCAAGTCTATGTGAGGTTGTTCTAAATCGTGTGCATGTCTACCATGTAATTCTTTACTACTTATTATTATTATTATTATTATTATTATTATTATTATTATTATTATTATTATTATCCAAAAAGTCCTTACCTCTGTCATGTAACCATAGAAATATTAAACATGTAGCAAATTGAATATCAGAATTAATTTAAAAACCTAATTGACGTTCTGCAATGACGTTAAAACGTGATTAAACACATCAACACGGTATGAGGATATTTTTAATGACTTTCATCAACTAAAATAGCATTGGCCACTTTAAAATGTTTTTAATATCAAATCATTCGTTATTTTACAGCAACTCTCATTTATCATTATCACGGAATACTAGCGTGAAATTGCAGCTTAATGATGCTGTATTTCGCATGGTGATTGTAGAGAACCGGAGACTCTTTTTACCAGTACAACCGATGGAGTGCCACGTTACCAGTAACTAGGTATGCCATACTAATTCTCCAGGAGTCTGGCATCTGGATTTTGATTCTTAATCGAAGATAGATGTAAATGTCTATGGGTAGCAACATCCACTTACCGTCAGGTAGACTGCGGGCTCGCTTGTTACCCGTATTCTATAAAGAAAATCAAGTTTCCTTGTTATGTTTTCATTCACCGCCCAGCACGTGGTATCGCACACCTGTGATATGGCATCAGCACGAATGTGTCAGGTCGACCGAGGACAAATCATTCGGTCACATAACACCAGCGTAAAGTATTAGCATGGCGCTGCTACGTTTCGCATAATGAGTGTAGAGAACTGGAGACCCTATTTACTTGTTACTTGTGACCATGCGTCTGCATTTCATTTCTTAATCGATAAAATATGTAACTGCCTATGAGTTTCGTGGTCTCTAAAAGGCTTGGTGTGTTTAGCAGAGCGGGACAGTATTTCATGCCGTCGCACTACCTGCAACTTTACAAGGCGCAGGTTCGGCCGCAAATGGAAAACTGTTCCCATCTCTGGGATGGGCCTCCCCAGTACCAGTTCCTTCCACTTGACCGCATCCAGCGCAGAGCGGCTCGAATCGTCGATGACCGAGTGCTTTCCGATCGGGTTGATTCACTGGCGCTGTGAAGAGATGTTGCATCTCTTTGCATATTTTATCGCATCTATCACGGGGAGTGCTCTGAGGAATTGTTCGGATTAATCCCAGCTGCCAAATTTCATGAACGAACTACGCGGCAAACCTCCCGATGCCATACACAACATCTGGATGTTTGGCGGTCCACCACTGTAGGTTTCACTAGGAGTTTTCTTCCGTTTACTACCTCTCTGTGGAATAATTTACCACCGGCAATTTTTTCGGATCGATACCATCTGAAGACGTTAAAAAAAGAGCTTACTCCTTTCTAAAGGGCCGACAACGCACCTGCAATTCCTCTAGTGTTGCGGTTATTCGTGGGGTACGGAAGTCACTTAACATCAGGTGAACCGTATGCTCGTTTGCCCCCTCTAAAAAAAATACATTTACCATTAGGTGGAAATTGTGCTCGTTTCGTAATCGTTGTTTAAAAAATTATATATATGGAGATTCGAAGATAATCCTGAAAAAAGTGTATCAATATACTTCTTATATTTACGCGAACACTACACATTTAAATATTACTAGTTTTAAAGGATTTTATCGAGTATATTTATCTTTTTAAATACCCGACGCTTCGAGCAGGTTACAGCACCCATGGTTACGTGGGGGGACTGTTGTTCAACGTCCAGATGTCATAGTTAACCAAAGTTACCATAGATTAAAGTTATTAATTTTTGTTGTGATCTACGCAGTATGAACTTATAGTATCTTGAAGTCTTTCAGTTGTATGAAAAATCCCAAATTAAATCTCAACCCAAGCATAATCAAAAGACTAATCTATAATCTAAATATTTTATATAAGTGGAGGCAAACGAGCATGCGACACACTTGATGTTAAGTGACTATCGCCGCTCATGAACAACCACAACACCAGAGGGCACTTTCCAAATGCGTTTGCAGACCTTTTAAAAAAAATAGGATCTTTTCTTGAAAGTCCCTTAGTCGCATCGGTCTGGACAAATCGCTGGTAGTAGTCGTTTCCACACGGAAGTACCTATTGAGAATTATGATTAAAAAAATTAAAGGCGATAATAAAAAAAATTTAGTAAGTAATTGGTAGTAGATCTTCTTCTCTGCATCAGTTCGACAGTCACAAATTACTACTTTTATTATTTATATCGAATAATTTAATTGGCTCATGGTCGATTTTTTATTATAATGTATAATAAAATTTACTTACGTCTTTCTTTATTTAAGAAGCATTATTCCTGCACTAGATATTTTCTGTAACGTGGAAGCTGTTTACATACACAAATTACACAAAAACAAACATCCAGACCCGGAACAATTACTTGCAGATCATACAATCACTTGTACAGGATACAAACCCGCGACCCTCAGCCCCGAAACTCGTTGCTTAAAACGCTATGATCCGTGAAATACATATACATATACATAAACACTCACGCCTGTCACCCAGAGGGGTAGGAAGAGACTACAGATTTCCATTTGGCACGATCCTGACACACCTCTCTCGCCTCCTTCACATCCATACACCTACGCATACATGCTCGTCGGTTAAGGGTACCCCTAATTTGGCCCGTTTCCATTAAATCGCCAATTTGGTCGATAAATTTTCGCCTAGGACGTCCCTTTCCGACTCTGCCATTCAATTCTGCAACATTCTTTCCTCATTCATTCTTTCCACATGACCAAACCACCGAAGCATTCCTTTCTTAATCCTGGTCACAACATCATCTTGCAAAGCACACTCTTCTCTTATTACACAATTTCTTACCCTGTCATTCAGATTCAGCCCTAACATACTCCTTAACGACCGCGTCATACGTGCCTTTTTCGACACATTTTGACTCTTCACAATAGAGTGCAAGGCCCCATTTACTCTTATCCGTGAAATAATAAACGAAATTACACTTTATAACTGAAAACATATCTATATGATTTCTCTTTGAGTTTAAAATAGTGGCGTAGCTTAAAACCTAAAATTAGACCTACAGTAATAAAGCTTCGAACTATATCAATATCTAACTCAGTTGGGCTTAAAACAATCGAGGCAAAATATTAGATTTAAGTGCGTGCACACATCCAGCTTTATTTACTTTTAATAGGATCCCACTCTACTGAGCAAAGACAAAAAGCTCTGCAAGCTCTCATTTATGTATTTAATAATAAACTTAGAATTTTTTTCTACAACTTTTTAAAGCAGTGTGAGTTTAAAATATACAATTTATCAACATGGTTCAAGAAGTGATCAATCAACATCTGGGCACCAAGTGGATATAAAGTTTCCGCACTGACCGTTTTTATTCCTGGAATAATGTGATTGATTTTTTTTAATAATTTTTTTATATTTTATATTTTTATATTTAAAAATAAACTATGTGTATTGGGACCAGACAAGTTACAGGAACTAAATATTTCACATTTTTTCCGTTTGAAATATTGTCACCAATGATTAATCACTTACTGACGTCCGATTAAGCTGAAAGTTATTATACTTATGTAACTTCCTCGATGATGTCTCTATCAATATAGCCTTTATAAGCTTGTTTTTCAAATAGATTTTGTATAACGTTATTGATCTCAGAAGTTATATATTAAATCAATATATCTTTTACATATATTATGGTATTATACTGTATAATATGGTCTTATACATAAAAAGGAGGCAAAAATCTGTGAACATAAAATTATTTACAGGTTTCTAAAATTGTTAAGTACCATTTATTCTACTGCTCTTCAACATTATTGCTGTTCTAGTGTTGGTGTTTGTCTGTCATTACTGAGTACTGAGGTAAAGCTATTTATTTCACACAGTTTCATTGTTCGTCATTGAAAAGTTGAGTTTTAAATGAAAGTTTTCTGGTTTATAGTACAAACACTATATTACCTATTATCCAAATAATGTCTTAGTGGTGTTGACCTTTATTTTTTTGCATAACTAATTTTAACACTCTTTCTAATTCTTCTACTTTTAGGTATATCTTG